CTGCCCAGCTCCGAGGGGCCGGCCCGGGCCCGCCGCAGGCAAAAACGGCATCGTAATGGCCGGGGGGAGCTGGCACCGGGAACCGGGCCGGGAATCCCGGCTGTGAGGGTGGGGACACTGGGCAGGGAGACATGGGGGTCTTGGGAGAGGGGAAAGGGAAAAACCGGGCAGGGATGGATGAAGACTCTGAGCAGTGAAGGGTGGGAACCGTGGGCATGGTGGGATGCAGATCCTGGACAAGGTGGGATGGAGACTCCAGGCAAAGCAGGATGGAGATCCTGGCTAGGGTGGGATGAGGCTCTTGGATGAGCGGCAGTGGGGACTCTGCACGATGTGGGGTGCAGACCCTGGGCAGGGTGGAATGGGGACCGTGGACAAGGAGATGGAGCCCAACACCGGCATTATTGGCTGCATTATTGGCTGCATTATTGGCTGCATTATTGGCTGCATTATTGGCTGCATGGGGGAAGCTCAGCCCATCTCCACCTGGGCTGCAGGAGCAGCGCCGGATGCTGCTGGAACCCCTCCAAGCCGCCCTCGCCCCCGGCCTCCCCTCGCCTTTCCCCCTTCCCCTCTAAGATTTCATCACTGAGCACTTAAGGCCGGGAAAAGCCGCCCCAGCAGCTGCTGGGAGCAGCCAGACGGACGGAGCCTTTATTTCGGGGAGCCGAGACACCGGCAGCGACGCCGGAGAAGCCCCAGCGGCGCCAGCTCCCCTCCGGCCGAGGGGACAGAATCCCCCACCCCGCGGGGGTCACGGTCCCCTGGCGCTGGCCGTGGCTTTTTGGGGGGTCTGGCAGGTCCCCAGAGAGGAGCAGAGGAAAATAGCAACAGGATGAGGTCACACAGCGGCTGCAGCCTCTTGAGCAACCTCAGGCCAGGCCGAGGGGATCAGGGCAGGGGGAGACAGAGTTTGAGGGGGGGCTCAAGAGATGCCCCCAGACCCCCAAACTGGACGCTGGGAGCTGAGCAGCTGCTGTGCTTGTCTGGGGAACCAGGGGGACCCCTGTCTGTGTCCCTGCCTGCACCCCAAGGCAGAGGTGCCCAGGCTGGCATTTCCAGGCTGGTATTTCCAGGCTGGGATTTTTCGGAAGCATTCTCCCGAAATTCAGGGGATGGTCCCAAGCCATGTTTTCCCCACTGGCTCAATAATGTCAGGACACTGAGCCCACGTCCCCCCTGGACCCTCAGATGGGCTTTACCCCCACCTGCATGGATAAAAATAACACTAAAAACAACCCCCTGTGTGACCCCCATCCCCACGTGCACCCCAAAATGTGGCCCCTTCCGGGGTTGATGGATGTCCATGGCTCCTTTGCTGACGGGATAAACCAGGAAACACCCCCAGCCCCAGCTGGAGTTCATCTGGGAGGGGGCTGGGGGCTGCCTGCCTTTCCCTGGCCTCCCACACCCCCTCCCCATCCCGGCCGTAATGAGAACAAGCTGGTCCCGGGCTGCGACGCAGGAGGAGGAGGAGGAGAAGGAGGAGGAGAGGAGGGAGAAGGAGGAGGCTCCATCCCAGCAGGCTGCAGAAAGGGGCTCGAGGTGTGTGGGACAGATCCCGTCTTCCCGGCTCCCTCCTGCCGGCTGCAGGCGAGGTGAGGATCCCACTGGATGTGCCAAGCTGCTCCCCAGTTTTTGGGTGGCTCTGGAGCAGGGCTCAGGCTGTCCCACAGCCGGGGGTGCTGCGCTGAGCGCTGGGCATGGTCCCCACGGCGGGACAGGGACAGAGCTGGCCACATGGCTGCATTCCCAGGCAGGAATCGGAGCGTGCTGCGTCTGGACAACACCAAAATCGTGAATTTCTGGAGCGGTTGGGAAGCGGAGTTGGGAATGAGCTGTGGGTCTGGGTGGGCGAGGATGGGGCTGGAATGGGATTGGGGTGGGGGTGGAGGGCTGGCAATGCCCGCGGTGCCAGGCCCTGCTCTCGGCACTGCTTTGGGCTTCGCTCAGCCCCTCCATGGCTGCGGCTGCTCCTCAGCTCCGATGGCTGCCGGGGAATTGAGGCCGTCCCCATCCCGGGACCCCTTTCCTGCCGAGGGGCCCCTGTCTGGGGTGAAGAGGAGGATGAAGGGGCTCATCTCAGCCCCTCAAACCCTTCATTCTCCCGGTGCTGGTCAGTGCTGTGACCCCACAGCCGCAGCAGTGCCCGTGGGGAGCTGGGAGGGTTGGGGGTCAGGGGCACCTCCCACCTCCGCTGCCGTTTTTTTGCACTGGATTAATGAGAACCAGATTGTGCAGCCGGGAAAGCGCCTGGAAGCCAAATCCTGCTGCTGGAGTCCCTCTCGGTCTGTAGAGCTGCTGGCTTGGGTTGGTTTTGGGGTGGACATGGGATGTGGGTTGGGATTTGGGGAGCCTGAGGTTGGGGAATTGTCATGGGGGGTCCGTGCTGATGGAGCTGGGGAGCTGCTTCCTGAGACCTCCCCATGGAGCCGTGTGGAGGGGAAGAGCCCTGGGAATGGCTCGATGGCGTTACGTGGCGTGGCACGCGCTGGTGGCCCTTGGGAACGGTCACGTCCCTCTCCCAGATCCCGTGGGGTGCAGAGCTCAGCCAGGGGCTCACCTCCGTCACCGCTCCGGGGTGGAAAGCACGTCTCCCGTGTCCCAGTGGGCCGGGGAATGGGACGGATCCAGCCCCAGCAGGGTGAGGAACACAGCACAGGGACGGAGCCAGTAGTTCCCCTCTTTACTGGGGACAGGCAGCCGGGACCCCCCATTCTCTGCACCCCAACTCTGGGGCTGCCCCTTTGTCCCACACCCCACCCCAGCTCCACTCAACCACCACGATGGCACCGGGGTGAAATTCTGCCCCGAACTATTTTTAGCCGTGCTCCAGCTGGGAATTAACGGTCCAGGACTGGCGGTTGGGAAATGCCTCTTGCGCCGGGCCCGGCCCCTTTGTAGCGTCGCTTGTGTCAAAGTTTCCACTGCAAACCTCCATTTTTCAGGAATTCTCTAATCAGCCAAATGACCGTTGTCTGGAGCTGGGCGCTGGCAGCAGCCCCGGTCCCCCGGCCTTGAGCAATCCCACCCAGCTGGCTTCCAGCTGCGCCCTTGGAAAACAAACGGAGCCCCTCGCTCTGTCAGAGTGAGAACTGTAGGGAAAGCTCCCTTTCTACTTCCACGAGGAAATTCAGGCCTGGGGGGCTCGCTCTGTTGGGGTATTAACACCTCCCCCTCCCCTCTGCATCTGACAGGTCTCCTGCACGAATCCTGGGAATGGGCTCAGCCATGGGCATGTGGCTGCTGCTCCTGGTGTTGCTGGCGGTGGCCCCGGCGCAGGCGGCAGCGCCCCGGCACCGCCCGGTGCTGCCGGACACCGCGGGCAGCGGGGACGGGGACGAGGCATCAGCCACGCTGCCTGCCCAGCCCGTCACCCCCCGGGTCAGCCCCACGGTGGGGGA